CTGGCAGGGATGGGAAACCGAGGGCCAGGAAGAGGGCTATCGACATGGGAAGGATGAGACCAAAGATGAGGACAGCCTGAGAGCCACAGCCATGAGGGCCAGAGACCTCTTGACCCTGCACTGCACCAGCCGAGTCAATCCTTGGATTAGGCCATTTTGGAGATATAAAGGTTGAGACGAAACAGAACAGCTGCACAGGGAGAGGGGAACTTTGGTGAGAAAGAGAAGTAGATTCCTGGCTGAACTAGAGTCCAACAGTGAAGCCTTTGGGAAAGTAACTCTCCGCGCTGCCCATCTATCCACAAGGAGAAAGGGAATTTCTTTCTCAAATTCTAGCTGAAAATGGGCAGTGGCCAGCTGCTGGGAGCTATACTAAGAAGAAATGAAAGGTGCCTGACATCTACAATGACAAACTGTCATCCCAATCTCCAAAGCCCTGGGCCGCCAGAACAGAGAGCCAAAGCCCCAAAACGAGCTGGGGCCAGACAACATTCTGGACATAGGTAAAGTTTATTCTCAGAAATATGAACGAAAGTCAAGGTTTAGTTGAGGTAGTGATAGAAAATGGTTGCAGTTGAAGTTTCTAAAGTTGCATGAATTACGCCCAAAATATTACGTTCTTTTAAATTTTGCCCCTTAGCACATTCCTGTGTTTACTCCTGTGTTTATTATTCCCACATAGTGACTGATTTTCTCATTTATTTTGTTATTTTGCTGAAGAGTCATTTCTGCTTTTACTTTCTGGCATCCATATTACAGGACAGCAACGAGCCTGGTTCTAACTCAAGCCTACAGAGCCCTCAGAAAGGCCAACATTGGGAAAAAAAAAAAGCCAACATCCAGCCCCCTTTCCAGAGATTCTAACTTAATTGGCTGGGAGGTGGTGGTAGGAAGGGAGGAAGTAGACGCTGCATGTTCTGAGAGCTCCCGGGTGATTCCCATGTAAGAGCCAGTTGGTTTCTGGTCTAGAATCCAAAGCACTGTGTGGTAGCTACAGGAATATGGACAAAGCACGAAGACGAAATTAGCAGCCTAAAACCTATATTGGAAATTCAACCTATCCCTTAAGTTTTCCACACATCAGTCATTTATGTACTTCTGACACCATTTCACTGTATCCATATACCTCCTACAGTTATCTCCTCAATGGTATTTTAAATCAACTCCATTTTACTTAAATTTATGCTTAAAAGAAGCTAGTGGACTGAGGGTAACGGCAAGGTGATATAAAAGGCAGGGGCAAAAGAAGACAAGGTGGTGGCTCCTTAGAGGGAACAGCACTCAGGACAGGAGGTGGGGAGAAGCAGGAGACCCAGGATACGTGGCAAGGCGGGCGCAGGGATGGGGTAAAGAGACTGAGAAGCTTGGGGATGGGTTGCAGACCAGCAGAATGCCGGAGAATGGGGTTACAGACAGCAAGAGGCATGAGGCTGTGCCCTTAAAGGAGACCTAGGGAGGGGGAAGGACTGAGGAAGGGGGCAGGCGGGTGGGACTGGTGGTGCAGGCACCTGGGGCAGAGTGTGAGGCGCAGCAGGACTGATGGAAGTGATGGGCTATCTGAGAGATCAGTGGGGCTAAGGAGGTGTGGGAGGAGTCGGGGCGGGAGCCGGGGGACAGGATAGCAGAGGGAGACTCTGGGCAGGACAGATTCGACTGTCTGCTGGACAGTGCCAGGTGGCGACTAGCAAGAGACCCTCCAACAACATCTGTAAATCACCTAAGATCATCTCACGGACAACCAGTGGCCGACATCCTGCACAGTGGGCAACACCGCCCCATGCCCTATGAAGAAGGAGCCACCCGTCTTTTCCCTCTTCCCCTTTCGTTCCAAAATGATTACATGTAAACAAATGTGAACCCCCCCTCCTCGCAGGTCGGGTCCCCAAGGATACGGCAAAGCTCAACAACCACAAAAAATCGATGTTGCTTCCCTTTTCTTCTGTACTACTCATGTTTCTTATTCGTATGAGCTCCTTTCTTTGCATGGACGGTCCCTACCACGGGAGCCATGTCCTCAGTCACTGTCTGTCAGCACAGAACACAATCAGCAGCAGGGACAAAGGCCCAGTAAGAAACACCGCAAAAACAGCAGAGGCTCTTAACAAATAACTCGTCAAAATGATTGTGTCTGAGTAAGCTGGTAGTTCGTTGCCGTGTAAATCCTTACACATAGCTAACTATGGCCCTAAAAAACAATCCCTTTTATTTTTTTAAGATCCTTGCCCTTAACTGAACAATGATGGGGGAGACAAAAGGTTTGTCTGCAATCACCAAGCACGCACCATCACTTCTCAGTAAAGTTTATTTCCGCTCCGTGATGTGTTCTGTTTCCTCCCTTTTCCTAGATGTGTCAAATCACAGATTCACTTATCCCTCAGTCGCAGCCAAGAGAATGACTCAGGCGACGCACACAGCCTGTCGATTATTTCAATTTCCTGGGCTATAAACTCATCATTTTCCACTTCTTCTCATTTCTCTTCTTTCCCTGCTTTCTAGAGGCCATGAGGCATGACAACGATGAGGGTGAAACGACATGAAATCCTAAAACAGATGAAGGGAGCTAAATTCTGATACACTAAAGAGAGATCTAAGAGAACTTTGTTCACTGCCCAGAAAGACGGGGTCATCATTCATCTATCCATCCATTCAGCAAATATTTATCGAGCGCCTCCCATGAGTTAGCTCAGTCTAACATGCCACTTGAAAGCATGCCACTGTCTATACCATGTTAGCTAACATTAGCTTCTAGAGGGGAGTTCTATATCCAGAAATTCTGCTTGAATAGAGATGTGGGTGTGCACCCATGTACATGTGTAATACTAGGATAACCACTAACCAGAAATGAGCAAACCCCCGAAAGCCCAGAAATAAGATAGCCTACACAGTCAGGAGGTGCCAGTCTAAAGCCCCATAATAAAGAAACTGCTAGAGACACCGTTTAATGAAAGACAATAAACTCTTGCAGCCATACATAATGGCAAGACTTCCATGAAAGAACACACGATGCTGGCAACCCACTTTTACTATCCAGGGACACAGGTTAATCCGTTAATTTATTAACCTGACATTTCTCAGAATGCTTGACACTTTTACATGCACTAACACAACACATTTCCCCCAAATTCTATAATATAGGTATCGGTATTAATATTCCCATTTTTTTCAAATGAACAAACGGAGGTCCCATTCATTATTAATAATTAATAAACCATTTATTCAAGGGCACTTAGAAAATAATGGAGCCAGAACTGGAATCTAAGCTTGCAGTTTGTGGATTCAAGCATTTTCTAAAAAGTAAAAATAAATTATTATTACTATTATTACAGTTTATACACTAACATCTAATTTCTTCTTAACGTTAGCATATGTTCGTTTGAATTTTGTTTGAATTCACAGAAGTATAAATTGTCTCTAAGCTTCTAATAATTCTTAATCAGACTCTTCTTAGCTCCTGGTTATTACATCCCACCTGTTCCTTTCTCAGGATGTTTGCAAGAGGGAGAGAATTAACCCTTCTGGTAATACAAGTTGACACTGAAGGGTCACTTCCTTCATGCCAAACACTGGGATAAAGTACTTCACTTGTAGTTTCTCCTTTAACCCCTGCAGGAGCCCACTGAGGCAGTGCTACTAGAAGTCATTCTGGCAGCATCTTTTTTTTTTTTTACAATGAAGGAAAGGAGCACAGAGTTTAAGTGACTTGCTGGAGCTCAGGCAGGTAAGGGGGATGCACACCTGCGACCTCCTCCCCCATACCCCAGGCTGAGATCTCTGCCTGTGAGTTCAGGCTCCCTTAACATGCATTTCACCTCCTGTCAGGCTCCCACTGGCCTGCTTCTCAGCGCCAGCGAGAGACTGCTCTTTGCATGTGCTGGTTTGGTTTCCTCCATCTTCGGTTCCTCCCCATAGGAGCCCTGGTTCACCTGCTCCATGCAGCGTCCACTCCCCACCCCCCAGCCCTGACACCCCTCCCCCACACACACACCTAAGGATGTTCCCAGTGGAGAGCACTGCGCCTTGGCATGTAGAGCAGGGCTTCCCCAGGACCATCTTTTCCATCAGGGGTTTATCTCATTCTTGCCAAAACCTCTTAAAGGAGCCAAAGCTTTTAAAAATAGCACTCAACATGTTTAAAAATCAATCACCCACCCGAGTTAGCAGTGGCTTCTCCTTAATACGGAATATGTGGATTTGCAGTGCGCTAGCAGGAGACTCAAATCACATTAATATGTGAAGGTAAGATGTATTAGGGTCAGATTAACCAGAGAATAAAACTGACTTCCCCTTCTCTTTGCACGAGCTGCAAATTCTGAACCAGTTCTACTACAGATCCCCCACGAAGAGAGCCGAGAGCCGTCCTCATCCTCCGTAGAGGTGCTATCTAGCTCCACGACGCTAAGGGGTGTGGAAAGAGGGAATGAGCACTTGCAAAGCACCTCCTGTGCACCAGATCCTGTGTTCTGCAGGTATCAGTTAAATAATAATTCCACAACAACCCTAGCAAATTAGGTCTTACCAAGCCCATATTACAGATGGGGAAACAAGCTCAGGAAAGTCCCAGAAATGAGCCTAGGGTCACAGAGCGCGGAGGGGCCGAGCCGCCACCCGCGCCTACATCTGCCTGCCCCCAGCCCCTTGCTGCAGGGACCCTGCTCTTCGCCACGCTGCTTCCCGGAGTGTTCTGTGGAAAGCTCTGCAACACAGGGCTTAACTCCTCTCTGACTACAGCGCAGAGCTTCATTAAAAGGGGGGGAAAACAGCAAGAAACCAGATCCTGATGTACAGATGCTCCCCGAGTGGCCCTGCGCTCCCAATTCCCAGCTGGGTCGCAAATGTCCCAAGAAAAACAGCCCTTCTCTACTTGCCACGGGCTGGCTGCCTGCTTGCTCCAGTCCCCGTTCCTCCTCCTCCCGCCCCCCGCCCCCCGAGTCCCCCGTGCGGGTGTTCCTGCCTCGGCGTGTCCGTCCCTTGCACGCGCGCACACACTCACTCAGGAATACCTCGATCCAGCAGCCGGAGCAAGCGGAGATACCAGAGATACCACTGGTCCCAGAAGCGGTCCGTCATCCCACCCTGAACTCATCCTTCAGGGCCGGTGCCTCAGCAGAGCCTCATCCCAGCACCTCCGAGTCGAGGGGGCCGGACTCCTTGGCGCTGGCGGGCGGCAGCCTGCGCTGAGCACACGCCTGCCTGCGGAGCCAGCCACGTCCTCCCACACAGAGCTGCCGAGCCGTTTCGCAGCAACAAAGGAGCAAGAGCAGAGCACCGCCGCCTCGTGCAGGCCCAGCCGCAGGGGCCCGGGGGAGGTCGGAGGCGCGAGCCCCAGCCCACACCGTCAGCGCCAGGAGGCCAGGGGGCAGGGGGTCTTGCAAGTGAAAAGCCGCTCACTGGCCGTGTCTTGACCTGCACCCCGGAATGTCCCACCATCCCGGCCCCACTCACAGGACTGGGGAGGGAGGGGACCACAGACACTCCCGCCCCAGAATATGAGGCCCACACGAGCACAACAAAGGCCACAATCCCTTCCACCCTCTGTCCGTTCACGAACCCTCTGTTAGAAAGTGGAGATAGCACGGGCTCTGGACTCAACAGTCATGGGTTCAAATCCTGCCAGCGCTTAATGGTTGCCCGGCCTCCGCCACATTTCTTCAACTCCCTAAGCCCCAGCTTCGTCCTTGTGACCCGGAGAGAAGAGCATTTGCCCTGCAGAGCTATCGTGACGTTCCCAGGAAAGGAAGGATGTGCCATTTCTGGCAGAGCACTGAGCGGAGAGCCTAAGTGTCTGTCCCCCCGCCGCCCCTTACCTGCCACCCCCGCTCCTTCTCACCCATCTCCGTCCCCCACGTGCCCTTACATCTCATGGTTTCCCGTCTCCCTGCCCTTGCTCCTGCTCTTCCTGCCAACAGCATGGCTTCCTCTGACTTTCCCAATGTCTACGCCAATTCTACAAATCAGGCTGCCGTCCCCGGTCTTCCCCTTTGTATCCATCTCACTTTCTCCTTATAGAAGACTCTGCTCCCTCATTCGATCACAAAATCCATGAAGATGGGAACTACTTTGTAACCATCCCTGTATCCCCCAACGTACTTCATATAGGGCTTGAACCTTGCAAGTGCTCGAGTGTTTACCAACTGAACCAACGAACAGACAAGTGAGGCCAGACACCCTGCACGATTTCATCCTAATGGCCAAGAGAGGATGCACTGTGGTGCCTCAGTCCCTGGGCACTGCCTAAGGCCCGTAGAAAGATGACAGGGCCACCCTGCTTGCTCTGCCCGGAGCGGACTTTACAGTAGACTGGCCACCTACACCGTGAGGCGGTGCCCCTGGTGGCTGAGAATCCTGCTCACAGAAGTAAAACCCAAGGGGACTCCAGGTTTGGGACAACTTTGTTCTCCAAGCTTAAAAACTAGCCAGCAGCCACGTGCACGCCGTCACAGCTTCTGTTCCAGCCTGGCCCACACCAGCAATGCCTTCCCGCTGCGCTAATAGAAATGCTCGCTTCCCAGGCCTCTTGGTCTCCCCTGCGGAGCTGGTGGGAGCAGTCCTCCCTCAGCATCTGCCCTTCCTGAGAGCTTAGGCCTCCAAGAGGAGAAAGGTCACAGATGCAGAGAGAGCTCAGACTGAGGAAGAGGCCGGGGAGAGGAGGTAAGAGCTAAGAGGGAGAGGAGAAAGTGAGCACAGCCACAGTCTCCCCAGCCCCCTGCTCCCCGACCAGCACCACCACTGCCTCTCGGCTCCTTCTGAAAGCACAGCAGCGGGACGGAGCGGACACACTGCCTGCAAGCCACCTCTCAGAATCTGTTCGGATTATTTTGTTATTACCTTACATGGACAAGACTCCAGCCTGCAGTTAACACAAGAATGCAAGCCCCTCCTCTCTCCAGACAGAAGTGCACTGACCCGGGACCTCCCCCTTCCTCCGTGAACAACAAAATCCATCATGCAGGTGTAGCCCGTACTTTGTAGCTCACAAAGTACTTTCACATCCATCATCTCCTTTGGGTCTCTGAGCAGCCCTGCAAGGTCTGTAGGATGGTGATCATTCTCTCCAGTACACAGCAGAGGAAACCCACAGTCCAAGAGGTTAAACAACTCGCTTACAGTCATATGCCTAGTAGGTAGCTGGGCTGAGAAAGAGATATATACCATCTGTGTCCTCCCAAAGAGAGTTTCTGAGGCTCTGGAATGTTCCCCGAGGAACTGTGACATGATCCCCAGGGGGACGGACGCCCTCACAGTAGGGCAGGACCTGGGGAACGTAGCTGCTTCCCAACAGGAGGCTCCTCCAGGACGCTGCCCTGCCACGGGTACAGGCTGAACAGAGGTCGACCAGCGGGCCTCACTGATGGCCTCTCACCCTTTCCTTTAGCTGTTGGCTGTGGCTGCCAAGGGGGGAGCGTTCTCCAAATAAGAATGCCAACAGAGGCTTTCTAGAACACAACGTGGGAGAAATCCGAAATGGGGGGCCGAGGTAGGCACACAGGGCTCTCCCACCATGCCGGAGACCCAGACGGAAATGGGCTGAGGGGAGACAGTTCTAGTGACTATGTGGACTGTCTGGCGTAAACCAGAGCACTCTAATCTACATCCCACTCCTGGGCTTGGAGAAGGCAGCTGGCCCTGTTCCCCCTCCCTCTAGTAACCAAGGGCAATTCCACACAGCCCTGTTTTCAAAAAGAGAAAGGAAATAAAGCTGTCACGGAACAATATGGGTGCAAGCACCTCCCCCACAAACTGCAAACCTAAGGCACATAGCATTACCTGTTGGGCGAAGCCCAGGATGAGCCCATTCAGCCGGGAAGTTTCCTAAAACCAGCTCCGCCCGATCGAACCAGGCCCCTGAGAGCTCTCCAGCCCACCATTGCTCATTTCTCCAACCCCCACAGAGCCTCTTAAAGCCTTAGTGTAAATGCAGCCCCTCCAGGAGCTGAATAAAATGTTCCAAGAAACTGAGAGTTGCCACTGAGCTGCAGTACATCTGGAAAGGACCGGGTATTGGCCGGGACAGAGCTTTATTAAGTCTTGTGGTTGTTACTTTTTTTTTTTCCAAATCATTTATTTTTTTTAATTTTTTTATTTATGATAGTCATACACAGAGAGAGAAAGAGAGAGAGAGGCAGAGACACAGGCAGAGGGAGAAGCAGGCTCCATGCACCGGGAGCCCGACGTGGGATTCGATCCCGGGTCTCCAGGATCGCGCCCTGGGCCAAAGGCAGGCGCTAAACCGCTGCGCCACCCAGGGATCCCTGTGGTTGTTACTTTTGTCCTCAACAATGCTTCCTGCGTGGTTGCTTCTTTCATCGTGGTCAAAGCAGGCATGATCGTTCCCATTGGTGTGGTCCCCCCAGCCCACCTACCCAGCCACAGGGACATGTTCTCCAGGGACAAGCAGCATCTCCAGGCCGGCGACAGCCTGTCCGTTCCAGGGGGTGATGCCCATCTGGAGGATCACTGGTGACTCCATGTCACATCATAGATCTGTTGCCTTCTCTTCACTGTTCCTTCTTCTTCTAACTTGGCACTGTTCTTTCTCCCTCTCTCCGCCCGCCCCGACATGAAAACACTGTGTTCCCGATCAGATAAAGCCAGCACAGTGTATGGAGCAGAAGGCAAACAGCACGGAGGGAGGAGAGAACCAGTCGTGTCCCAAACCTTTCCCACTCATCTCCCGGGACAATGACTGCCATTTCCACAGCACCACTGGCCAGCTCCCTGGACACACGGGGCTACCAGACAAGGGAAGGCCACGCGGGAGGCAGTACGGCTGCATACCGAGGGGAGACAATCGCCGACGACCTGGTGTTCATCCCCCCACCCCTCGTCCCAGGAAGTGAGCCCCCATCAGGCTGCCATTTTGCCCTACAAGCTGTGCTTCAGTTGCAACATGAATCAAACACGGCAGCAGACACCATCGTCAGCCACCTCCCACACCACTTCTGTCCCCTTGGCAGTGAGCACCCTAGTGGTGAAGTGAGGCCTGTGGCAGCACATTCTCAGGGGCGCCATCCACGGGATGGGAAGGACCCCTACCAACCTCTCCTGTGAGAGCCAGGTGTCCCCAGGTGAAAGGGCTCCTTAGGTCCACACCTGAGGACAGCACCTATGACAGGTATCATCTATCACTCTGAAATTCAAGTCTACCTCTCCCAGGAGGCCTTTTCCAGCTAACCTCATTCATTCTCTACCTCAGAGGCTCTCAAAGTTTAATGGGCAGCAGAATCACCTTAGAGGGTTTGTTATCCATGCAGATAACTAGGCCTCGCTCCCGGAGGCCTGCATATTTAACGAGCTCCCCAGACAATTCTGGCTCCAGCTCTCCTCTCTTGCACGCGGCACCGACTTCATTTAACTCTTCTGGTTGAATCTAGCGTGTACCCATCTTCCCACATACCCTAGAAGTCTGGTATGGAGGGAGATTCCGAGTCTCCTGGAAGGTAAGGGGAGGTCCCACCTCCCAAGGCCCTACGTGGAGGCCCCGAGAAGCTGCCAGGGCAGGAGGCTGAGAGATCAACCTCATCTCTCCACAGGCTCCAGAAAGCGTTCATTCTGCAGTGGCTCCACTGCACATCTGTACAATAACTTTAAATGTCACCTCAAATATCAGGCCAGGCAGCAGGAGGGAAAGGCAGGAGCTAATTAGCCCGCCTTGCCCTGGCTTTTGTGTCGTTTCATCCTTGCTCACCTCCACTACCTCCGCTGAGATCTTTAACTCTCCCGTGGCCGGGGAGCCCCAGCTCGTGAACACTGCACACAACCTTCCGCCACACCGGGATGTAAACCAAACTGTTTAATGCCTCTGCTCCGAGTATTTACAGCTCCTCCCACCCCTGCCAGTCAATAGAACACCATGTTGCCCTGCCTATCCAGCCACAGCACGCCACCCCAAAACCATGCCCCGAGAGCCAGACCCATATCCTCTTTCTCTGCCTCTTCAAAGCTTATCAATCCTGGACCTGTGAAAAGCATCATGATAATCTCATGCCCTCTAAGGTTTTCCTGATGAGATCTTTACATTTAGACCCTTGGGGAGTACTCACATTTTGGCAAAAGATATTGATTGCTTCAAAGGAAGGAGACCAAAAAAAAAGCTCATAAATAAA